ATTATTGTAAATTTGAAAGTTTAGCAATGATAAGATCTTAGCTTTTGATTTCTCAAGATGGATGTGGCGTGTGTTTGGTGTGTTTATTGATGAGAAATTACGTTACTATATATATATATATATATATATATATATATATATATATATATATATATATATATATATTAATGAATACATGCTCATTTATTTTGCAATTATTTAATGACACTTTTCTGAAAGGAAAAATAATAATAAAACATGAAAGTTAATTTAACATTTCATTATTTGTCAATTATAATGAAATTTCTATTTTAATCCTAGTACTTGATTATTATGTTAACCAAGTTTATTCTATTGCTTCTTTTTTTTTTTTTTCAAAATGACAAAACGTAATTCAAAATATAGAAAATATTAACACATGCAAAAGTGAATGACAAAAATTGGCGAAACATTCAAAATCGTACATGGTACTTTGAATATTTCAAAATGAATATGTTTGACTAAAAAAAGATAACAAATTACACTCAATTAAAGTTATATAATCAATGACAAATTGATTTGTTCGATTTGGCCAACCTTGGACAAATGAAAAACTAAGGGACTTTGGTGCTTGAGCTAGCCTCGAAGAGAAGGTGAGTGAAACTCTTATAATCAGATGCCTTGATAGGTTAAAAGCGAGAAATTAATCATAAGAAAATTCTATAATACCTATCATAAAATTGATGACTATTAAGAATATAAACAAAACTGGAAAGAGTATATATAATTGATTAAACATACATTATCTTTTATTTCTAACCACTGTTCATATACTTTCTCAACCTACTGAAACACAAAGAACCAGAAACACAAAGAACCAATAACGCCTCTATTGAGGCTCGAACTCATAATCTTCTAAATGGAAGTCCAACTCGGGTACCATTAGACCACGTAGTCCTGGTAAAAATCATAATTGTTTATTTTGAAGTATGGATATAAAACTAAAGAGGGGTATGTAGTTTTTGAGAGGCATGAGGTTTTTTGTTTCCATAAAAAAAACATCATCAATTATATAATGACAAGTTGACAACCTAATTTTTGAGTCAAACTCCATCACCTCCAAACCTATCCATTTCGCATCCACATGTTTCATCACTTCCCAATTCCCACTTTTTCCTCTTTTGTCCTTTTCCACAATTCCATCCAATGAACAGATGCCATTTATCTGGAAACATAAGGGCATTTTTGTCATTTCCAGCGCAATCCACTTGACCCATCCGGATTTACATGACAACCCAGTCTACTTGCCGACCACCAAATCCCTTATGGATATAATATAGTCGTATTCTTAGGGACTGTTTGGTTCAACGCACATTTTTTAAAGATGTAAAAGTTTCCTATGAATTAATGACTGTTTTGGTCCCTCGATTATGTCATAATTATCAAATTGATCATCGACTATTAATTTTGACCAATTAAATAACCAATTATTGATTTGGTCTTCCATTAAACTGATCGAGGATCAATTTGATAGTTACAGAAGACTAAATCAGTTACGAAATCAATAGTTAAAGATTTAATTGGTCAAAATTAATAATTGAGATCTAATTTAATAATTAGGACATAGTCGAAGGACTAAAACAGTCATTAATTCTAATATCATGTAACTTAAAAATATAGAGAAAACTTGATTCTCAATTTCTCATGAAAACTATTCAAATAAACTAAAAATATGTTCGAATTTTGAAAATTCATCTTCTATTGTTTTTTTTGTTTTTAACCAAACAAGGCAATATGATGTTATCATATTCATATTTTTTAGATTATGCACGGCCGTATTTTTAGTTTTGGTGGCCCTGTTCTGGTAAATAAATTTGGCCCTACCAAAATCACAATTTTTAAAATCAATACATACAAGTTTCGAATCTTTGTCATCCAATTTAAACTTAAAATACAATAAACACACATTCTTATTATATCTTCATAGAATATTTTAAATTCAATTGAAAACTTTTAATTTTTATTTTTAAACTAGATAGATAAAAATTAATTATTAGACCTCTAAAATTTGGGGACCCTGTGCGGTAGCCCAGCTTGCACAGTCTAAAATCCGGTCCTGAGATTATGTTAGATAAATTTACAGTCATTACTTAAGGGTATACACCAGTAAATTCTTATATAGTGTACTAACTCGCAAATTAAATATAATAGGTAAATCACACTAAGAAAATCATATGCGACGAACACCTTCTTATACATATCCACCCATTCTCCCACCCCTTTCCATGCTTTTATCTCATTTGTTTATCGATATTAATATGGTGTCATCTAATTAATTCAGAAAAATAGATCATAATTTTTTTTTCTAATAAAATCAAAATATGTGACAAAAATTTTACACCCTAAAAATACACGTATCGTTTTCCTTTCACATAGGACACATCCAAGTTGCAAGCCAAGTGTTTCCACCCTGGCTAAGACACAGCTGGCATTTCTCTCTTTTTTCCTAATTTTTTTTTCCCATTTTTTGATTGGAAAAAGAAAAAAAAAATTAGTACTCTCCCCATCTGTAAACCAACAACCACCATTGGAAAATTGTCACTTTAATGGATAATGCAACTTTATTTTTTTTTATTGTACAATTGTAATTACTGTCACTTAATTAACCTTTTTATAAATTATTTAAAATCAATTTATTGACGAACTCAAATTAAGTAATTTGATTTAATATTAGTTATTTGTTCAATAAATAAATTACGATATATCTTAATTAAGAAAATAAATTATTTATATTCGGATCACTAGTTGTTAAGTAAATATAAATATTTCTTTTTTGGTAAAGTATAATTATGAATGTGTTTATATGATGGTTTAACTAAATTTGCCATTTTGCAACTTGTTTGAAAAAATAATAAAAATAAAATAAAAACAAGTTTGCTGATACAGTGAGTGACGTAACCAGATGACAGGTCAGCAACTGTTTGAAAAATTCACCCCTTATCCGCTAAATTTGACTCCTATGTTTTCCCCTACATCGCGGCCCACAGTAATCATCACCCTGCATCCTATAGAAGCCCGACGCGTGGGAGACCGCAGACCATTATCCATTACTCATTGTATATGGTGTGGCGTGGGACCCAGCGCAGACTAGGGGAGACCACCATCGATGAAAAATATGCACGAGACATTTCTCTTTCACATCCTTTTTCCTGATTTTAATTTTTAAAGTAATTATAATATACAATAAGAAAAAAAAAAAGTCGATTGATTAATATCAATAGTTGATTCTCAAGATCAAAAGTAAAATAAAATTAAAATATTGAGTAAAACAAAATAATTAGGTTGATTATAGTGATGACAATAAGACTCATATTTCTAATTACTTAAGTTTTTTAGTGTCTCAGATCATAATTCGATTGATTAGTCAATGTAAAAAGAGCTAATAACTCTGGTGTGATGGTAGTTGAGTGATACATGATTTTATTTTTATCGGGATAAAGTATTGAATTGGTTAAATTGTAGACAACAATGTGGCAATGGTAAATGCTTTTGGGAAGGATGTAAGCCAATGCATCATAAATTAATATCGTTCAGTCGAACTTCAAGAACATGTGGGAGCTTTTGAGATTATAGTGTACATCTTTACTTTTTCAATTGAAATTTTGAAAATTAGAGTGATGATTTGTTATGATAACTTTAATCGTAATTCATTTAAACGAGTGTTTGAAAATTGAATGGGGTAGTTGACCGATTGAATTTACTACTCAAAACATATAATTTGGGAAATGTTTAAGTTGTTGAGTCAGTGATTAACATCACTCACCCGGATTTCAAAAACATGTGGAGCTTTCGGGATTAAGTGTAGTCATTTCATTTTCAATTGAAATTTTGAAAATTAGAGTGATAATTCGCTCTAATAACTTTAACCGTAATTCATTTAAACGAGTATTCAAAAAGAGATTGGAATAGTTGACTGTTCACATTTACTGCTCGAAACGTACACTTTGGAAAGTGTGTAAGCCGGTGAGTCAATGATTAACATCACTCATCGGGATTAAAGTGTAGTCATTTCATTTTCAATTGGAATTTTGAAAATTAGAGTGAGAATTCGCTCTAATAACTTTAACTGTAATTCATTTAAACGAGTGTTTAAAAAGAGATTGGAATAGTTGATTGTTCACATTTACTGCTCGAAACGTATACTTTGGAAAGTGTGTAAGCCGGTGAGTCAATGATTAACATCACTCATCGGGATTTCAAGAACACGTGGAGCTTTCGAAATTATAGTATAATCATTTATTTTTCGAATGAAAATTTAAAAATTAGAGTGGTGATTCATTCTAATTACTTTAACCATAATTCTTTTAAATGAGTGTTTAAAAAGTGATTGGAGTAGTTGACTACTCACATTTACTACTCGAAACGTACACTTTGGGAAGTGTATAAGCAATTGAGTCAGTGATAAACATCACTCACTCCAATTTTAAGAACCCATTGAGATTTCGAGATTACAATGTAATAATTTCTTTTTTTCTTGAAATTTTAAAAATTAGAGTGATGATTAGTTCTGATAACTTTAACTATTATTTAAACCAGTGTTTAAAAAGTGATTGGAGTAGTTGACTACTCGCATTTACTGCTTGAAACGTATACTTTGGAAAGTGTATAAACAGTTGAGGCAATGACTAATATCACTCACCCGAATTTCAATGACACACGGAGTTATTGAGATTACGATGTAATCCTTACTTTTTCAAATGAGATTTTAAAATTTTCGATTGATGAGTCGTTCTAATAACTTCAAACGTTGTCTATTTAAACGAGTGTTTAGAGAGTGATTGAAGCAGTTCACCGCTAATAGAATTTTCTTCTCCAAACGTAGCCTAGAGGAGGAGGAACGCGGATGCCAAGGAAAGGAGGCGTGTAAGTACGGTAGAAAACAACCGCGTGACAGTAAAAACCACGTGTGTTCCAGTTGGCACCACTTAGGTGTCTGCTGGCCGACCTTATCCTGTTTTTATTTATTTACTTTTATTATTTATATATATATTAAATAAAATTGTATAAGGAGAGTATATTTTTCATGAAAAATGTTGGATTTTGCTTAATCAAAACCGCAGGGAGACAATTGACAGCGAGGCAGAAGGAAGAATTGTGTAGAGAGAGAAAGAGAGAGTGAACCCTATATTTTTCATTCTGACTTGGGAGCAGAGGTTTTTATGCATTTTGACCACCTTCTGGTTCTCAGGGAAAAGGGCTTTTGGAGCAAAAGATTTCAATCATTATACACAAGGTTAGTTTTGGGGGTTTCAGATTTGGGGTTTTTCATATTTTTGCGCATTTATTCTCTCGTTTTTATGATTCTGTTAAATTCCCACTTCTCGGCTGAGTGTTTCTTTTTTTGGGGTTGTTTCGTAATCAAATCAAACCTCTTTTTCTCTGATAAAGATTCAATCTTTACTCTGCATTACCAAAATGGGTTTCTGTTTGATTGCTTGGATCTAGTGGTGTTTCTTTGGCTTTCTTTGAACTTGTGTTCTTTGTTTCAGATCCTGCTTTAACTGCTCCTGATTTTGCTGCCAAAATTTTATACTGGATTTGGTTAAGGAAGCTGATTTAATTTGAATTCGTGGGAAAGTAGGCTTTGGTTTGGTGGGTACTTGTATGGGATTGTGAGGACTTGTTTAAGGAGATTGTGAACTAAAAACTGGTGAAAATATGATGTCCAAATCGTATACCAACTTGTTAGATCTTGCTTCTGGGAATTTCCCGGCGATGGGGAGAGAAAAGAGGCGGCTGCCAAGAGTAATGACGGTGGCCGGAGTAATTTCTGAGCTTGATGATGATCAGGCTAGTAGTGTTGCCTCGGATGCCCCGTCGTCTGTTATTGTAGATCGAGTAATAATCGTAGCTAATCAGCTCCCCGTAAAAGCTAAACGTAGGCCGGATAATAAAGGGTGGAGTTTTAGTTGGGATGAGGATTCTTTACTTTTGCACATAAAGGATGGATTGCCAGATGAGATGGAGGTGATTTATGTAGGGTCTTTAAGGGTTGAGGTTGATGTGAATGAACAGGATGATGTTTCCCAGTTACTGTTGGATAGGTTTAAATGTGTCCCGGCTTTTCTCCCCCCGGACATTTTGGCGAAATACTATCATGGATTCTGCAAACAGCATTTGTGGCCGCTCTTCCATTATATGCTCCCGTTTTCTGCTAGTCATGGTGGGCGGTTTGATAGGTCGTGGTGGGAGGCGTATGTTGCAGCCAACAAGATTTTCTCTCAGAAGGTCATCGAGGTGATAAATCCCGAGGATGACTATGTTTGGATTCACGACTATCATCTAATGGTTTTGCCAACGTTCTTGCGCAGGCGTTTTAATCGGTTGAGGATGGGGTTTTTCCTGCATAGCCCTTTCCCGTCATCGGAGATATACAGGACTCTTCCCGTGAGGGAGGAGATTTTGAAAGCGCTATTGAACTCTGACCTCATTGGTTTCCATACATTCGATTATGCCCGCCACTTTCTTTCTTGTTGTAGTCGTATGTTGGGTATCGAGTACCAATCGAAACGAGGGTATATTGGGTTGGAATACTATGGGCGGACCATCGGGATTAAAATTATGCCCGTCGGGATTCACATGGGGCAGATTGAATCCGTGCTGCAACTTGCAGATAAAGAGTGGAGAGTCGAGGAGCTCAAGCAGCAGTTCGAAGGTAAAACCGTGGTTCTTGGCGTTGACGATATGGACATCTTCAAAGGTATCGATCTGAAGCTTTTGGCAATGGAACAAATGCTATTGCAGCATCCGAAGTGGCAGGGAAGAGCGGTTTTGGTACAAATCGCCAACCCGGCTCGAGGAAAGGGCAAGGATCTCGAGGAAATACAAGCGGAAATTAAAGCTAGTATCGAAAGAATCAACGACAAATTTAGGCTGCCCGGTTACGAACCCATCGTCTTTATCGATCAACCGGTTTCTCTTGGTGAACGAGCCGCCTATTACACTGTTGCTGAGTGCGTGGCGGTCACGGCTGTAAGGGACGGTATGAACCTTACTCCGTATGAATACATCGTTTGCAGACAAGGGACCCCGGGATCGGTGTTCAATTCAGAATCGAGTGCTCCGAAGAAGAGTATGCTAGTGGTGTCTGAATTCATCGGGTGTTCTCCGTCCCTGAGCGGTGCTATACGCGTTAACCCGTGGAACGTCGAAGCCACCGCTGAAGCATTGAACGAGGCGATCTCTATGGCTGATGGCGAGAAGGAGTTGCGCCATGAAAAGCATTACAAATACGTTAGCACACACGACGTAGCGTATTGGTCGAGAAGCTTCTTCCAAGATCTGGAGAGAACGTGCAAAGACCATTTTAGAAGGCGGTGTTGGGGAATCGGTCTGAGCTTTGGTTTTAGAGTCGTGGCACTCGATCCGAATTTCAGAAAGTTGTCTATCGAAGCAATTGCTTCTGCTTACTCCCGAGCCAAAAACCGGGCGATATTGTTGGATTATGATGGGACTGTCATGCCTCAAACGTGCATCAATAAAGTTCCAAACAACCAGATCATCTCGATCATTAGCGCACTGTGCGATGATGCTAAAAATACCGTTTTTCTCGTGAGTGGAAGAGGAAAGGATAGTTTAGGGGAATGGTTTTCTCCGTGCAAAAAACTTGGTATCGCCGCCGAGCATGGCTACTATCTAAGGTGAGTTCTGCTTCTCCATATATACACGTTCGTTAATACTTTCGGTCTTTTTCTTACCCAAGTACTTATATGTATTGTCAGGTGGTCGGTTGATAAAGAATGGGAGACCTGTGGACAAAGCACGGATTTCGGGTGGAAACAGATTGCCGAACCGGTAATGCAATTATACACAGAATCTACTGACGGTTCTTATATCGAACCGAAAGATAGTGCATTGGTTTGGCATCATAGAGATGCAGATCTCGGGTTTGGGTCTAGCCAAGCAAAGGAGATGTTAGACCATCTCGAAAGCGTTCTTGCAAATGAACCGGTTGAAGTGAAGAGTGGGCAATTCATCGTCGAAGTGAAACCTCAGGTATTTTCTTTCCGTGTATGGAATAAGACATTATAATTAATCCGTTTTTAAGAAAAGTGTGTTTAATTAAGCATTCAATACTTTAGTCCTTACTACAATTGGTAAGGCTAGAAGAGCATGATTTAATGATGTTCGATGATACCTTATTCCGTTTATGTAAATGTTCTTCTTTTACATACCATATATTAGACATTGATTTAATTCCCAAAGAGAGTTAACCGGAGAGAATCTCGATTCCTTCCTTCTAGTGTTAGGTTTTAGGTTTTTGAAAATGCGGTGTTCATGATTATACATGAAATATATAGTATAATAATGAATGTGAATATAGATGAGGAAACCGAACGAAGTTACATTTCCCCCTTTAGTTGGCTTATTAGTCGTTTACTTTAGGTGCAATTTGTCTAAATTTTCATTTTTATCGTCTGTTGTTCTACCAGGGCGTGAGTAAAGGTCTAGTGGCCGAGAAGATCTTCTCGGCGATGGCTGAGAATGGGCGGCAGGCGGATTTTGTGCTGTGCATAGGCGACGACAGGTCTGACGAGGACATGTTTGAGATAATCGGAAGTGCGATTAACAGCGGGGCCCTCTCGTCGAATTCATCGGTGTACGCCTGCACGGTCGGGCAGAAACCGAGTAAAGCCAAGTATTATGTCGATGACACGAGCGAGGTACTTAACATGCTCGAAGCTCTTGTTGAAGAATCCCGGTCCCTAAGTTTGGAAATCCCCCCCACCCCCACAGGAAGCTCGGTTTGAATTCGTGCTCGCCATAAACAGGTCGGGATTTACGTGATGTATATGTACTAAACGTAACGGCTCGAGTCTATGAAATCGAAGTTCAGACGAAGCAACGGGATTCTGGGGTGTGTGGGAATATGAAGTATTATTGATCATTGGTGAACTTCTTTGCCTGGTGATGTAAGAATGGTTTGTTCTGACATGAAAGTGAAAAAGAAAAAGAAAGAAAAAAAAAAACTGGTTCTGAATCAGAATTGTATACAGCTTGTTCAATTTCTTCTTTTATGTTTCTCTTTCAGGAATTGGAATTTTTCTCTTTTCTTTTCTCATCTTTTTTGTTAGACTAAAATTATTGGATTGATACAATTGTAAATGTTATAGAAATCTTTTCTTTTTCTTGTTTCTTTTCTTCTCTTCTATATTTTCTCAATTGCAATCCAAAGAGTTAATGCTCTATCACCGGGATTTGATTCTGTGATTTTTCTCAAGAAGAATTACAAGGTGTCATCTAAACACAGTGTTTGGCCGTTGATAAAAAAATTTATTTAAATAAAAACAAATTTTAATTTGAGAAAAATAAATTATTGTTGTGTTTTGTTATCCTACTTTTCATATTCTTCTTGCATATATATTTTTTATGTATGAACGTTTGAGTTTTTATATTAATGATTTTTATTTATTTATTCCCATCAAAAAATTAATAAAATTATATTTTAAATAAATTTTTCATAAAATTTAAATTCAATTTGTTTTTAATTATTTTTCATGAACCAAACTTGCGAGGCCTAATAATAAGTTGATTAATTATAACTTAGGGTGTGGAATTAGAATGGAAATTAAATAAATGTTCTAAAAATTTGGAATGAAACCCTTCTAAAATAAAGGAATGAGTTTTTAATTAATAGAGTATTCTGAATCCATAGTAGTATTTTAAAAATCAGTCAATCAAACAATAACAATCATTTTCATACTCATTCCTAAGTGCTAAACCTATCAACCAAACACATCTTTAATGTGATTATAGGGTTTTAAGATAAGATTTGCTTAAAGCATGCTTGCAGTGTTCATACTACTTAATACACAAGTATTTAAAGAACATTACTGCATAGTTAATACATTCTTTTCACTGTTAACTTCTCTCTTTTTCCTTTTAATTTTCTCCTTAGGATTTGCGCTTTTAGATTCAAAATCTTTATCTTGTCGCAAGTGGATATGGATACAAATCTTGTTTCGTACGTTGTAACGGTACTTTTCACCGTTTAAACTTTGTTCCTCTTCCAAGGTACCATGTTTGAATAAATATTAAAAGAGTTAATACCCAAAATCGTCCTCGACTATAGTGGTTTTTCTCAATTTCGTCCTAAATGACTTTGGTGACCTAATATCGTCCCAGACTTTTGTGTTTCGCTCAATTTAGTCCTCCATTTGTTATTCCGTCAAATTGGTGTTAAATAAAGTGACAATTCAGTAATGTCAATATTGATCTCTCTTTACTTTCAAGTTGTGAAGTGCGAAATTCCTCTTTCTTGTACGAATTACACCCAGAATTACTCCCGGATCTGCAAATCAAATTTTATATTCGCAGTTTTAGGAGTAATTCTGGGAGTAATTCGTAAAAAAAAAAGGGATTTCGCAGTTCACATGTCTATGAGTAAAGAGATGCCAATATTAAAATTACTGAATTGTCTATTTATTTAACACCAAATGGACAGAATAACAAATGAGGGACTAAATTGAGCAAAAACACAAAAGTATGGGACTAAATTGAGCGAAACACAAAAGTCTGGGACGATATTAGGTCACCAAAGTCGTTTAGGACGAAATTGAGAAAAACCACTATAGTCGAGGACGATTTTGGGTATTAACTCAATATTAAAACTAGAAGTCTACATCTATTTTATATTACTAGAACTCGAATCTATTAGAGCATTCACAATAGTGAAGTTATTTTGTAGTTTTTGAGAAGTTTTTGTGGGTGTGATTAGGAAAGAGAAGATGAGTAGGAGAGAAAAAAGAAAAAAAAGATTAAACTAAAATTGATTTTTTAAAAAATAAATAAATAAATAAATAAACAGAAGTGTCAAGGCGCCTGCATTGCACGCGCCCGTGTGAGCTGCAGCTATGCGCGCGCACAGCACCTGTCCCTCTTCATTTAATAATTCTGACATTATTTTGGGTTTTTGTAGCCAATTCTTTTTTAGCTAATGAGAAAAAGATATGAACACTAATAAAACCAGGAAAGACCAATCACAAATACCAGTGAAAGCGGAAAAGAGATGGCCTGGGGGAATGGAATACGGGAGGCGAGAAGTCATTTTTCAAATATTTCTCAATTAATTCTTCCCATATATCTTGAACAAGAGTTATTTAATCTAACATTCTCCCCAAAATATCCTCTGATAATATTGCTCTTATTTTCTTTGATAATTTATATCTTAGTTGTTCAATCTCTCAAAGATACACAAATCATTAGTTAATGTATCATAAGGGGTGATATTTTTGTCCGGCAAGAGCTATCCACAAAGGGTGTTGGTCGAGACAGCAGGACAGTAGTCATAGAAGTCGAATAAATTCGTTAATGAGTGTGTAACAACTCACTCACCGAATCAACTAGTCTCGAAAATGAATGACGCTTAAGCGTGTGACTTATCCTCAACTGTTGGGACAAGAGTTAGGTCCCGATGAATAGGAGAATACTAGTGTCAATAGTACGTGTATCATGCACAACACGGCACCAATACCGTTTGCACCTTAAAAGCTCTCATGTGTGTGTGTATATATAGATTGGTGTATAAGCATGTGACATGAAATGATAGAGATGTAGGGCTATTTGGAAGCCAGAATCAAGAAGAGGTACATACATACATATATATATATGCCTTCTCGCAAAAATTAAAGACAACCCGTGAACACTTTTGATTCTGGTTTCTTGATTTAAAAAAAAAAATAATAATAACAATAAAAATCAGTCTTTGAAGAAGAAGTGTCCCCTTCCAAATTTCATGATTGTCTTCAACCCCCAGATGCCTGTACATCTCTGACTACTTGCATTATTATAACCCCAAATGGTCCTTTCAACAATAATTCATCTTCCCACAATCCCCCCCTTCTATCATGTTACCAATTTCTTCATTTTCCATTTCAAATTTTGAAATTTAACTCACTTGTATGTGTAACCGGTTCTCAAGTTTACGTCCAAAGCGATGAAAGTAATCATGCGCGAGTTTGATGTTGCATAACACAACATAACAAATTATATCGTGCAATCTGAAATTCACCTTGTAAGTGGATCCTAATACAAGTTCATTTTAGTAGGAATTATATTTCGATGCAAGTTAATTTTCAGTGTATTGTAAGTTAAAATGAACATACAGTAACGTAATAGGCTAAGGGCCGGGCCCGAAATGTTGCAAAGTCATTATTTCAAGTGTTTTGTTTCTTAGAAGGGACACTAGCAAACCATAAATCTACTAGACAACAACCTTCCATGTGAAGCTACATTAAAGAAATCCCAAGTTAAAGAGGAACAAAACAAAAGATAAGAAAGCTAGAACTAGGGAGCATAATGAAATGGCATTATTTTAGTACATACAAAAGTGGAATTAGGCAAAGATTCCATGATATACAATTCTACACATATATATATTTGTATAATATTAATAATATAGGCAATACAACAACTAATTTTTATACAAATGAAGCTTGCAAAAGTTTTTTTTGTTGTGTCATTGTTTGGGCTACATTGGAGAATACTAAAACTTGGGAGTACTAAATTAGCAAACTATAATGCATATATATATATATATATAATTTTTTTCTTTGGTGTTGGGGCCCACAGGCTTCTCTCCCCTTTAACCACTAGAAAACAAAGACATACTCTTCTTGGGCCCACAATTCCTTTTCTTCTTTACAATATACACCCAAAATCCAGTTCATTAAGGCCTGGAACCACTTTCGCCGGTGGGCCCAAAGCCCACTTATGCTGTTCCCAAAATATTTTCTACCATTCACGCGCCTCCCACGCGCCACCGCCAAAATTCCTCCTCCGCCTCCCCGTGCTGCTTACTTCATTTTTTTAAAAAAGTAAATTTCGCTTTTGATCCTAACACATTTGGTCTATAACTTGTAAAATTATTTTAAAATTCAATCTTAAAATCGGTTAAAGCTCGAGCCGAATTTAAATTGAATGTCAAATATTTTTACGAGTTAAAGACAGAATGTGTTATGGGGAACAAAAAGAATTTATTTTTATAAAATTTTGATATATATATATATAGGTGTGCTTGTAAATGGCTTGATCAACTTAATTTATTAAACACGATTGGGTCATGTTATGAAAGTTGATCTTGCAATTTACTTAGAGTACTATATTGGTAGAAAATGTAGCGGCCAACGGCGCCGCCGATGTGCGGCGGCGCGTGAAGAATAGCGCGTGAGCTTCCCTCATACCGGAGAAGAGATGGGGGAACTGGGAAGGGCTAGGATTTAGCCGGAGAAGAGACTGGGGAGAGATATACCTGGCTTTGCACCACTATTTTGCCTACTTTAAAGCCAGGAACCACCGTGAACGCCACCTGAAACTCGCCGGCGCCGGCGAAAACGTCATCGGTGACGCTCTCCATGTAAACATCCGAGAATCTGGCGCCCTTCCTCGCCTGGAAAGTGGTGACTTGTTGATCGAAAGAGAAGGCGAGGCAATGCAGGAGCCAAACCCTCCTCCCCATCTCCGCAAACGCCTTGAAGAATTCGGTTTCCGGGAACTCGCCGGAATTCACCAGTTTCCGTTGGGTGAGGTTCCCGGAGAAGGAGAACTCCATCTTGGGGTGAACCAGGTGCAGGTACTTGGCTTTCAAGAATTTCGCGAACAGAGAGCTAGGGTTCTGCTTTAGAAAATGGATCAAGCTCGCGGATTTCAGCTTCTTGAACTGATCAAAGAAGAACGCTCTCTGCTTCTCCGGGGACAAACAACAATGATCGGTCTGTATAGAGAAGCACGGATCGTTGAAGCCGTTGAATATCTCCCTGCAAATGAACGATTCGAAGGCGAAAGCTTTGTGGTGTTTCTTCTCAAACGAAACTCCATTTTGAATAGCGGCCGCAGCTGCGTCGATGTCCCAGTTCGCACCCTCCATGTCGCGGATAAGGTGTTTGACGAAATGCCTCACCGACCTCATCGCGTAGTGAAGAACCGTGATGAAGTCTTTGGGGTTTACATCGGAGAATCTGACGTTGTCAAGAACGGTGAAAGATCCACTGGCGTTGAGCTTTCTCTCGAGGGATTTGTTGTCAATGGAGATTTCTTGAAGCTCCTTTTGCAGGGAAGAAATGAGGGACTCTTTCCCTTCAATCTCTCCTTGCATTTTCTTCATAGTGATCTCATATGTCTTCATAAGAGACTGCTGTTCTTGAATCTCGGCCAGCATGAGAGTAACATGGGGCGGCGAGGAATCAACCTGTTTCTTGAGATAACTGTGTTTGAGCTCAGAGAGGGCCTTGAGCTCATCAACCACAGATTGATCTGCAGCCTGAATGGCATCACTGTTGTAAGGGAACTGAGCCATCTGGAGCTCAGCATATGCAGCTTTCAGAGAAGAAATGGTGGCAAAGAGCTTTGCAACAAAGGCCTCAAGAACAGCCCTGTTTCTTGAATTCTCTTTGCACTCCTGAATCTCTTCCTTGTCAAAGTGGTGGGATTCGCAGCACTTGAGCTTCTCCTGGGGAATGAGGAGGCAAAAGCCATTGTTTGAGGAGAAGGGCTTTGAAGATGCCCTGAGATGAATCACCTTCTGAAATGTCCTGGCCAGCTTGCTCCTGTTTGGAGCTGGACTGGGTCTGATTGACTCCATTGATGAATGAATGAATGATGATGAAAACTCAGGAGGAGGAAATGGAGATTTCAAGAAAGAAAATGGTGTGATGAGGAAAAGAAAAGACAAGACAAGAAAAGAAGGGAGCTATGGAGGGTGCAGCAAAAGCAGAGAGAGTGGAGAGGGTAAAGCAAATAGCGCGGGAAAGAAAGAGAAAATCAATCACTGATTTGCTTACACAGTTGTATATATCAGTAGCAGTGGGGTTGGGGGAGGAAAGGGAGTCTCGTTATTATACAAAGTATATAACCATATCTCTAAAAATGCCATGTATTTAAATTAGTTTATGTTCACACAATCAGATGGTAAGTACACTATAAGGTAATTATAGGAGATTGAAAGATATCTTATTTATTACAGTAAATAGAAAGGGCAACTATATTTTATTAAAGGAAAAATATCAAATACACCCTTTAATTTTAGAGTAACATCAATAGTTTAGATTCTTTCTTACCACGCCCACAAAAAAATTGACCCTAGCATAGAGAAAAAACTTGCCAAAAACCTCCCTCTCCATTTGTGTAAAAGCTCCACTACTATAAATTTTTTTGACGTGCAAAAATTTTACCAAAAATCTAAAATGCAGCTGCTCTTACACGAAAGTGTTATTAGCTCACAAGTCTTTTGAAAAGTGCAATTAAGCTCATGAACATGCTATTTTCTTGCATTGAAGTCCCAACACGATTAATGACCTACTATTGCAAGTTATTAGGATTCCAATGATATTCCGGGCACATGCGACGATTGCCTGTTGCCTTCAAAGAAGGCGACCCGGCTAGTCGCCATCTCCAACAAAAGGCGACCATTTGGGTCACCTTCTCGACGAAGCTAAGTCATGTCTTCTTTGTCGAAGAGCACAATCAACTGGTTACCTTCTTCAAAGAAGGGGATCAGCGATCACCGATTACTATTTTTTTCTGGTTGTTATCAACGACGACGATCAACAACGATTATTGGCAGTCAACGATGGCCACCGTACCATTAACATGTTGGTTACCAGTAAATTGAGCTTATTTGACCATTTTAATAAGTTTGCATGTTTACTGTTTAATTACACTTTTTAAAAGTTAAAGGACTAATTGCACTTTCATGTAATTTTGGAAGGTCTATTTAACTCTTTTCCCTCTAGTAACTAACTAACTTTTTTTTTTTTTTTTGGTATCGAGAGATATTACATGCGAGTAGCGCGTCTGAACCAAGAAGATTAGTAGACTATTTTCACTGATAATCAAACTTAGAACCTTATGATTAAAAACCAACTTGAATGGGTTGCCTAGTATTCAAATCTTTGTATGTATATACACACATACATTGTTGTGTACAAGAGAAGTAGGGGTAATTATGATAATTCAAGCGTAAAGTGGATGAAGGGTTGTGATTGAATGATTGGGTAATGGGGGTATTATTGAGATTGTTAACTTAATAATCAAGGACCATTGATGCATGGGTGGTGGGTCTACTCTACTGTATGGAATCCATAATTCTTATTTATTTATTTTTTATTATTATATTTCTCTACATACGTACCAAATTGGCGACAGCTTCATCTCATTACATACCCTTGGAATACAATACAACAAAAAGCAAGAAAAAAAATTTAAATATTAAATAAAGTTGTTTTAATAATTTAGAGAATATGCTTTACTATGAATAATCTTTATATATATATATTACTTCCTTTTTATTTTCTTTTAAGCACAGAAATCCTTGACAAAGTTGACATTTAAAATGAGTATCTAACTTGAAATTATAAGTTAAATATCAAGAAGTAATTTATGGTTGTTGATTTTTTAAAAATCTTTTTTGGTTACAACATTCAGCATTCTCACAACTACAAGATTAATTCAAATTCAACTCGGTCCAAAAGTGTTACAAAAGAAAAGACATTTTTCATCTCGAGAAAGCTAAAATAGCCGAGTGAGTGAAGTATGATTCTCGTATCAGAAAATTACAAATAAAATTCTTACTAATACACTCTCATATACATGTCAATGCTGACTCTATTATATAGAAATGAAATTTTCCCCGTGCTTAACATTATTCATTAATATATACCCAATAAAAAGTAAAAACATGCAATACCATGCATGTAATGTTTGTTGTTGAAACATCTGTAGGACCAGTAGGTAGGATGCAAATTAATGAATTCTTGTTTGATCCTTTTTGTAATTTTGTTTAATGTTCTTAAATTGTGTATGATATGGTACACCTATTTCTAGCATTAATTAATAACTATTTAAAAGTTTGCAACAATAAAATCTTAAACATGACATGTTATAACTACCTTAATTTATACAACTATCATACATCATGCTGGGAAATAAATAATTAAATATTTAATACATTCAGAATAAATATTTATTTAAAAAGAATATTAAGCATAATTTTATTTAAATAAAATAAAAAAATGTTACTTCCCCTTCTAACATATTTTACTTTCAACATTTAATTTACCTCCTAATTTGGTATAATCCCTTAAAAGAGAGTATTGATCATACTACAAGTTAATCAGTTAAAAAGATATAATGTGATGACATATGGTTATGCGTTCACTTTCTATTAACACCCTCTTGTTCTAGCCTGTCGCACATGATTTTACTTTCTAGTGTGGTTTATACACTATTACACAAAAATGATGTTTACCTAGTGCACATCCTCGAGCAGTGGTTGTGCGTTTCCATTGTCATCGAAAAAAATACTCCGTATATATTATAATAAAAGTCAACACAGTAATTAAATACAAAGAAATCTAATAAAATAATCACAAGTAAATTAAAATTATTTGGTAATTTTAAGAGGGAAATGTAATACAAATAGTCAATTTTGTTAATTTGAATAATATCTGAATTGAATGCCATACTATACTATACTATACTATTAAAGTAATTAATTAAATGATGAAATTTTGGGTAAAATACAATATTTGTGAGGAGGTAGTAGTTGGGAGTTGGAATTATTAAGGTTGAGTGAATTATAATCTTATAGACAAGGCATGCTTGAAAAAGCTTGTGGAACAAAATATTCCATAAGAATGATTGAATTGAGACAAGAATGTTCTAGAAGAGGATTTGTTAAGAGATAAATGTTATTCAAGGGAGCATATTTTGTTGACAGCAATAGTGACATGTTTGATTAAACTAAGAGTTAATTCTATGAATAATTTTTTTCCTAATATTTATTAATTTTTTTTCTTCGATATCATAAATGATTAATTGACTATTGACATTTATCAATTTTTATCATCGACTTTCAATTTAACCAATTAATTGTTTTTCTTCGATATCATAAATGATTAATTGACTATTGACATTTATCAATTTTTATCATCGACTTCAATTTAACCATAAATGATCCCTTGACTATTGATTTTGTTCTACATTTGGTCATGCATCCTGTTATATATTAATTTAGTAAATTAAACATTAAATTTAAGGTAATAATGTAAAAATTTAGTTCTTTACATTTCTACTAATGATGATGAACCCATCAATATTTTAAGTTTATGAACCCGGCCAATGTGTTCATCTCAATAAAAAAAAAATCAATTTTTACATTACTACCTTTAAATTTATTTCGTACTTAATGAATATTTAACTGAAGGACTAAATTTGGAACAAAAAATCAATAATTAATTGATCATTTATGATCAAATTAAAAATCGATGATAAAAATTGATAAATGTCAATAGTCAATAGTCAAATGGACTATTCACAAAATTAACTCTTTAAACTAATAAAGTGACATAACAAAATTGGACAACTCGATCTTGCTATCTTAGGAAAGTGTTTGTTTCAAACATGGGAATCGGTATTATAATTGGAATAAAATATTTAATCATTATTCTATAAATTAAACTTATATATGATACCACAGATGGTCAATTTGAAAGTTTAGGACTAAAACTCAAATTTAAAGATTGGAAATTCTACTCTAACAGTACAAGGTGCAATATGTTATAGAGTTTTGTATCATATTTTTATTTGAGTTAAGAGTGAGACTTTGATTGCATAGTTTAAATCCTTAAATATATATATATATATATATATATATATATATATATATATATATATATATATATATATATATATATATATATATATATATATATAAAAGAGTCCACTACATCAAAGAGTAAAATTTAAGAGTAAATGTAGTAGAACTCTTCAAATTAATATAAATGAGAATATTGGGAAATGGGTCAAATAGGCCCTCGAACTTTAGCTTAAAAGTCAATTAGGCCCCTAAACTTTTTAAAGGTGCAATTGCACCCATCAACAATTCATTTAGGTGCAATGAAACCCAAAAATAAGTTAATGACCTGCTATCACAGGTCATTAGGGTTCAGGCCACCTTCCGGCGAATTTTTCGACAAAAAAAAAAATGTGACCAGCAACTGACCCAGATTTGTTGAAAATTTCGCCGGTCACTTATTTTGTCGAAAATTTCGTCGGTCACTTTTTTTTTTTTTTTTTTTTTTTTTTTTTTGCCGGAAAATTCGCCGGAAGGTGGCCTGAACTCTAATGACATGTGATAGCAGGTCATTAATTTGTTTTTGGGCTTCATTGCACTTAAATGAATTGTTGATGGGTGTAATTGCACCTTTAAAAAGTTTAGGGGCCTAATTGACTTTTAAATTAAAGTTCGATGGCCTATTTGACCCTTTTCCCGAGAATATTTAATGAGTATTGTATGGAAAAAATAAAATAAAAATAAAACACGATATCTTTTACACAAGTAATTGGCATCCCCAAGAAATGTATAGTGTAGAGAAGAGAAGAGATCAAGTCCATGTTGTAGGTATGTTTCTTCATGAATCATGTGTGAAACCTGCAGCTTTGCAGAGAGCAGAAATGTTGGACTACTTATCTTCCTCAAATTCTTGAAAACACTTTATAAAATGTTGGGCGTACTACATTATTCTCCACTACTATGATAAAGCAACTAGATTTTTAGTGTTTGATTTGCATTGTGAAGTTTTG